TCACTTTCATCCCTACTTTACACCACCTCCTAGGCTCCTACCAACATGGTGAGCCATATGTGGAATAAAAAAAATGTTTTTTTTTGAATTTTCACATTACAAAATAAATATAAGCAAAAGAATTTAATTCTTACGTTATCATATCACCGATCTTTTTTAAAAGTTAATATTATTAATGACCTTATATTTTCAATTTTTTCTATTTAAAACCTTTTTTTTCAAAAAAAAACACTTAGATTTTACCTAAAAGAAAATATGTCCTAGCCCTTGAAGCAAGTTTACATGTAATCTTCTGGACTAGCAATTTAAAAAGAAATTTATAATTGACAATAAAAAAATCTTTGTGCCTCATAATTAGTCTATTCTTGTTCGTACTATTGTTTATGATGTTTGTACTGTTGGCCACCGATTGTCACTGCTTGCAACAACTGTTGGCCTTCGTTTGACGATGGCTACCAGTGGCGGTTACTCTAGTTTATTAAACGATCGTTCCATATATTCCAATGTTAGATGTTTTGCCCCTGGTTTTGTGATTAGTATTCAATACTCATAGTGACTGGGGACAAAGACGAGTCCAAATGCTGAGATTTTCGAACAAATTGAGACATTTTTTTCTCTTTGAGGAGAAGCATTGACCGCGCTTCCAAAAAGGTGAGAAGAGGGACCGATGGCGGACCAAGCTCTTTGTGTAGTCATATTTAGGTGTTACGATGTTAATCATATATGTGACAATGTTCTTTTCGGGAGCAATACAATCGAATTCTTCTTGAGTATTATCCGTGGAAAGGGTTGAGAAATTGTCCCCTGGATCCATAGTTTCACAATAGAATCCATCTCTCTCCATTATAGGTCAGGAGGGAGCATCCTTTGAGTCATCAATATAATCAATCATGCTAAACCCAATGCAATGTGCTTCAAAAGGTCTCTCGAAGCATCATACTTAAGGCGGTTGAGATCAAGTACAAGTGGGATGAAATCCTTGATGTTAGTAATCCCAAATGGTTTCGCGGTGGTCGGCGGGCTTGGGAGATGTGTTGGAAGGTATTTTGTATTGATTCACAATAAATATTGGTGAGATGAACAGAAAAAAGAAGGGAGACTAGAGGTTTAGTTCTTATAGGGAAAATGACTTATAAAGGTAACTATGTTTTAAAAACGTTCAAAAACACCATTAACGTTTGGCATGTTCAAAAAACACCATCCAAGTAAGGGATTTGTATAAAAAAACACCATCTAACCCATTGATAACTGGTTCTTCCAGGTTAAATGCTTATGTGGCTTAATACTTGGTGACGTGGCATAAATGTGGGTGATGTGGCATCAAAGTGGGTGACATGGGTTTAATTTACGTACTCCTTCATAAATCGAATTAGGGCCTTATTCATAAACTAATTCTTCTTCTTCTCTTCTCCAGAATTCTTCTTCTCAGTCTCCTGTGAAAGGGATACCATCAAGTTTTTTTCCCCATGTCACCCACTCGTGCTCGTATGTAATTAAAGCGACTCCCACCCTACTTGCTACTAAACTCTTTTCTCACTAATCAACAATCGATTCATTGTCTTCAACAATGACATCATCTAAATTTCAACAAACCCAAATCCATCAAATCCATTTTTTCAACTGTTAGAGCAATTTCTACATCATCAACATCATCTGCCATGATCAAAGCTATAAGGGTTCATGAAATTGGTGGTCCTGGGGCATTCCTCTTCTCCTCCTAAAACAACAACTCGGACAATAAGCAACTACAATTATGTGAGAATATGTATGTGTAAATGGGGGAGAAAAGGGAACCTTTGCTGATGAAAACTCCAGGCCTAATGCAAAAAGAAGAAAAATGACACCAAACTGAGCAACAATCTCGACCTACATGAAGATAATATCAAAGTTCCTATGATGGCAAAATGGTCATAATAAATTATAACAACCCCGAAAGGGCATTTTTGTCTGATTAGAAAGTGAATATATAGATAAAATGGCATACCTGAACCAGTTCACTTACAAAGCTAAGTGTCGTGGGTCCAATAAGCAAATATCCTGTAAAAGGGCATTGTAGTAATTTTGTATAGTTATTGAATTGAACTTACTGGTACATCTACTGAAACAGAAACAAACGTGTGGTCATCCATTGGTATTACAAGGTATTCAAGAGTTTTGTAATGATAAAAACTAACTCCAAGTTGGAGGAACATGATGTTAGCATTACAAATGGGATATTTTTATCATGATCAAACTTGAATACCTTTTCATCTCTAATGGCTACCCCATTAGGACTTATCTGATCAACATGTGACTTTGATAGTCGACATAAATCAAGTCAATCATTGTTGTACAATCCACACAAACAAACTCTCCCATAGGATACCTCTACACATGAAAACTAAATTTACAATTTACATGACCTATATCCACACTTTGACTAAAAATAGAATTTGAAGCAGCCAACATAGCTACTCCAATCCCTGATCCATCTTCCATCACTTTCAGAGTCACAAATGGAGCGATTTCTTCCCCCAATATTTCTGCAACTGCTTTGTAACATCCGGACTTTCAGATGCATTAATGTGTGTTTATCTTTGAGATGTATGGAGTGGCTCGACGAGTTGTGAGTCCGACTCGCCGAGTAGGGTCGGGTTGGCCACGTGGATTTAATGAGTGGACTCGACGAGTCAGAGAGATGACTCGTCGAGTAGGTGATGGGCAGAGAAACCCTAATTTTCGGGGGTTGGGGCTTATTTAAAGGCACTTATAGCCTCATTTGCGGCTACACTTCCCTCATAACAAACCCTATACGACCTTTGAGCTTTGAGAAAGAGTGCTTGGCTAATTGTGAGTGTTTGGTGCATCTTGTGAAGAGGAGAGAAGAATTCCAAGCCAAGGGTCAAGAAGGTACTGCTAGATCTGAGATTGTTCCTCTTCAGAGCTTCTGGGAAAGGTATAAAGCTTGCACCTTTCTCATTATTTTGTATAGATCTCATGATTTTATGAATCTATGGTTTTTCCACCCAAATATGAGGACCTTGAGTGTTTTATGTTCATTGAGAGGGATTGAACTTCAGATTTGGACCATGTGAGGTCCCTAGAGTCCAAAAGTCTCTGCTTTATCCAACCATAATAGTGATCTTAAGTGATAAACCCTTTTTGAGGTGTGTTTTCGCATTTTAAGCTCAAAATGCCATGTATGAACGTAAAGTCTGTGACTTTACGTGATTGATGAGCCTTAGGAGTGCAGATGTAGAATTTGGGAAGGTTCTCTGCCTTGAAAACGACTGGATGAGATATGAGTCTGAATGGACTCACCGAGTCAAGGAGTCGACTCGACGAGTCGGTGAGGGTTTGTCCCAATGGGTTTGATTGTGCGATAACTCGGCGAGTTGGGGGTCAACTCGATGAGTTGAGCTGGAATTTCTTGAGACTTCTGAGGAAACAAGGGGACTCGACGATTGGCAAGAGTGCACTCGACGAGTCGGGTCAAACATGGACTGTTGACTCGAGTTTGACTTCTGTTGACTTTAGGGTTTGTTCAACTGAGTAATGGAGACCATGGAGGGGTAAAATGGTCTTTTACCCAATTCGAGAGTTAGAGAGAGAAGGATAACATGTGGTTACTTAGAGTCAAGAATCGAGTATTAATTAGAGATATTTACCCTATGTGTTAGGCGGTGGCTAGTTCGAGATTCGAGTTCGAGGATATATGCTTGCTTGCTCGCAAGGTGAGTCTTCTCACTATACTTTACCTAGAGTGGTACTTATGTGTGACCGGAGGGTCTTATGTGATTACATTGAGTATTATATTATCCTGCCTTATGTTTTATGATGTGCATTATGTCTTTGTGATTTATGCTATGCGGAGCTTTACAGACCGTACCAGAGGGTCCAACGAACCATGGGACTGGAGGGTCCCACTGGGACACATTGACCGGAGGGTCTTACAGTGATATAGCCTCGAGTGGCTAATGAGCTGTGTGTGTGGTATTTTGGGGAACTCACTAAGCTTCATGCTTACCGTGTTATGTGTTATGTGTTTCAGGTTTCTCAGGATCGCGGGAAGGCACCGGCTTGATTGTACACATAAGTGAAGGAGTTATGTTTTGAGGATCCTGGATTTGAATCAAACAATTTATGGAGTTGCGATTTGTAAATTAAATAAATGAGATTTTCGTAAAATGTGTTATGAGAATTATGCGATTTCAAATGAAAATTTTATTTGAAAATTTACGGTGTTACATGCTTCATTCAAATATTCCTTAAAAATGGTGTAGCTTAAATATAATCCACCTTCTATTGCTACAACTGTTTTTCTCATTTTTCCACTTTTAACCCTTCCACTTGTAATCCCTGCAGTCCCATCTGATATCATTTTCTCAAAAGGTAAAATGGTAAAATGATCATTCTACCTTTTTTTTCTTCAATCCAAAAAAAATTGTAACTTCTTATCAACTTACATATAATAACATATTGTATATAGGGGCAATTTGGTCTTAAAAAAGATGTATGTATGATTAGCCTAACGCAAGAGTAGATTCATCTTTGTGCACCTTAATTGACTGTTAAACTGTTAAAATCAGTCAATTTAAACAAAAATAATTGTATACAGGGGTAAAATGGTCCTAAAGTATAAAATTATAAAAATTATTGTTTATTTAATGTAGAAACGATATAGTGGTAGTTATATTTCATTCTAACATTATTAAGTAACTTGTGGTAATTAAATTTAAATTAAACATAACTCCAAACTTGAATATTTGATCATAGTTTTTTTAATGTTGTCTGTTTGCCTTCTCATTCGTTCTCATTCGTTGTATGATGATAACTAAAACAATTAACTTGAATAAATTAACAATTTCCATTATCTTGAATCAACCATTACAGCCTTCATACAAAAATGAATGGAGCTTCTATTTTCACTTCATGTGTAGTTAAAGGTAAGTTGAGTTATGCTTGTGGTCAATTGTCCTGCCTTCTCCAACTGCAACAACCTCACCACCTTAAGGCTTTGTTTATGCAGTGGATGGGAGTAATATACCACTTGCACTTTTCTGCTCTGCAGCCTTGATTTTTACCAACACTCTGTCACCCAATGGTTTCAATGAAGTGTACTTGGGAGCAACGGTAGTAGCAAATTTGACGACCAGACTACAGGTTGACCTGAGTGTCGAACTTCTAAACTGAGAAGACACCACAATAGATGAAACTTTGGATGTTGAAGATCTCAGACCTTCAAACAAAGGAAGAAAACAAGTCAATTTCAACTGAGCAGCTGCCATTTCCTAAAGCTTGGGGAGAGATTAGGTGGTTGTTGTCGTATTACTAGTACTGGACTGAAAACGGAGAGGATAGAAATCGATTTCAAGAACAGAGAAGAACATAACAGTCGGCTTTAGCAAGGAATCGATTTCACAAAATGGCGAGGAAACTTGATTGATCGAACCTTACAGACGTCTTCTTCACTCCCTCCCATCGTGAAAGCCAATTTACAAAACCCTTATTCCACCGACCCTTAATCCACGTTTACATCCATGTCACATTTTTTCCTTAAATTTTTTTTAACAGGTAAAAATGTAAGGCCTTAACCTACACCTGTAAGTTACCAATGGGGGATATTTGAACAAATCATTTACTTCGTTGGTGTTTTTTATACAAAGGCTTTAGTTGAATGTTCTTTTTTAAACATGCAAAACTTTGATGGTATTTTTTGAACGTTTTTAAAACATCCTTACCCTTATAAGTCACTAGGTTTAAACCCGTGGAACTCCACGGTTTAAAAATTGAAATATAATTATACTTTTGATAGCATAAATAAAAAGATATCAAATTTTAGAAATAATGAAGAATTATGATATTGTAATGTAATTAACATGAATAAATCAAATACAATAAAGTATTATAAATTAATTAATTAATATGATGGATGAAGTGTGATACACGAAAACAAAATAAAAGATGGTAAAAACGGTTCTTATAAATTCCCAAAAACTTCCTTATAAAACGATATTGGAAGTTTTATTTGTGAGACTATCATCCTTATCTAAAATTAACAATTTTAATCCTTCCCTGCTTTGAACTCTAGATAAGGCAACACACAATTGGTCATGTGAAAAGACGGGATGTTTGAGAAACAAACCAACCTTCGATAACGACTTTCCCTGACTCTTATTAATGGTCATTGCAAAACATACAGCCAATGGAAACTGTCTTCTTCGGAATTTTAAGGGAATTTTCTTTTCTGATGGAGTTAATGACATTCTTGGAATAAAAGTGCGGTTTCCAATATTAGTTCTAGATATGATACGTGCCTCAATAACATGTTTGCCCAATGATATCACATGGAGTCTTGTCCCATTACACAATCCATTTTTATGATCAATATTTCTCAGCAACATAACGGGAACACCAATTTTTAAAACTAACTTATGGTTTGGTAAACCCGATACTTTCAGACCATTTAAAACATCAGGTGAATATAAATTTGCATCAAACTGATCATGGACAAATTCAGATTGGCATATACTATCTGAACTTAAATATTCAACCTCATCTCCTGGAAACTTCGATAGCAAACGGTCGTTTATTTCCTGAACCACTTCATTTTTTGGAGCAAGTATTGCTCTTTCTTGAAAATAGCTTGTATTGTTGTACTTTTCCAAAATTGAAGGATATACGAAGTCGATTAATGAACCTATGGGATCATGTGGATCATTAATGAGAATATCATCTGGAATATCAATAACCATTTCTCCATCATTGATGTCACAAAGTTTTCCTTCTCCTATATCCAACAGCCATTTTGCAAAATCTCTGATTTTTTTCTATATCAGATTGATCCCTTCCAACAGTTAGTCTCATGTTTTTTGTTAATTTATGGATCTTTATGTGTTGCCATAAATATGACGAGCTTAAAGAAGCATTAACAATGTTTTGTCTACTTTCACCTGGTGGAATAACAGGTAGAATTTGTCTAAAATCTCCTCCAAAAACAATAACTTTCCCTCCAAATGGAATATCTGAGTTGGTAGAATTTTCAGACCTGAATAAATCTTTCAAACTTCGATCTAAAGCTTCAAATGCATGCTTATGGACCATAGGATCTTCATCCCAAATTATCAATGAGGTTTTTATCAATAAGATAGCAAGGTCACTACCTCGATTTATTCTACAAACAGAATCCTCTGTTAGTTCAAATGGAATTACAAATCGAGAGTGTGTTGTTCTACCTCCGGGCAATAATAGTGAAGCAATCCCACTTGAAGCAACATTTAAAACAATATGACCATCTTTTCTAATAGCTGCAGATATTGCCTTCCACAAAAAAGTTTTACCAGTTCCACCATAACCATAAACAAAGAAGACACCTCCTTTATTTTGTTTAACTGCAGTCATGATATAAAGGAAAATGTGACGCTGCTCATTTTTCAATGCAAGAAACATACGATCAAACTCAGTCTTCATAATGGGAATGTCATAATCTAGCTCCTCGATGATAAGTCGATTGTTTGAAGAAGAAACATAATCAACATCCGGGATAGGCATGTTTTTATAATTTTTTAGACTCAAGTTGTTCCGAAGTAAAACTTGTTCTATCTCGAACAAATTTAAGTTCTTAAGTTGAACTTCATTGAGTGATAAGTCTGTAGGAGAAAGAGCAAATTAATTTGAAATATTATTATCAATATTTGTATTATAATTAAAATATTAATTAATGTATGTTTAAAAATAAATAATTGACAATTTAATAAATAATAATAATAATAAATTTTAATACCTGGAGACTTGAATCTCTGTCGTTGGTTATAAAGAATTTCATCTGCCAAATATTCACATGTGTTTTCCCAAACAACCTCCGGTTTAGACATACTATTACACATCAACAATGTAGCAAATAAGAATCGTAGGTAAAAACCAGATCCAGAATGACTCGCTTCTTTGATTGCATCGATGTATTCCTTGTCATCATCCAAGAGACCAAGAGCATAACAAGCATCTCTAAAAGAGGAATATTCTTCACCATTTACTGTGCGAATTTCTTCAAATGATTTGGGACCTTTCACCTTATTTAACAATATCCTTAAAAAATAAGCTTCACCTAGATTAGGTGAAACCGAATGAATTCTACCAATGCACTTTCCTACTTTCCATGGCTTCCAAATCCTATCACCACGTTGTCAAACAAACTTTGTAGGAAATTCAGCATACGTAAGTTTCCGTGCATCAGCATTAACTGCATTACACTCCATCCAAGCTGTGAACATTGAAGAAGCAATAGAAGGTTTGTCCAGAACATCGTCAATATCATCGTCTTCCCCATGTATAATTTGTTGTTGACCAGGAAGATGAAAATGCAATCTAACCACAGAAGGATACCTGTAATGAACATCATGTTTACAAATTCTCCATGATGCTTCACATGCAGATAAATATCTACAGTCGTAGTACTCATTTATTTCATCAACCGCATCATTAGTATCACACTCGTTATTGCTTCGTACAATGCCAATTGTAGCTCTATCAGGTCCCTTGTTTATGTATTTAAATAAATACTTTATAGAAGAACCCTGATTGCACCATTCAACATTAATATGTGCTTGATATCTTTTGAATAGATATTTGTTGTAAGGGACAACATTTCTATTATCCAACTTCACGCCCGATTTTTCAACAAAATGACCATCGTTTCTTCTCCTATATAATGGAAAACCATTCTGATCAACAGGCGTATGATTACAGAATTGTTTTGGAAAGTTTTTCGAGCACTTTTTGTCGACCATACAAGGACAATTCATATTTTCAGCGCCACATGGACCATGAATCATGAACTCGTTCACAAGAGAATATAATTCTAGATCTTCATCTATGTTTGGTATCTCAGCGGAAATTAGCGGATCGATAAATTCAACAGTGGGCGGCTTATAGTCAGAATGCATAAATAGACATATATAACTATGGGGCAAACCTCTTTTTTGAAATTCAATTGTATAAACAACTGCATAATATTTTGCACAAAAATCAAATATGATTATACCGTAATGAAAAATATAATAAATATATAATAAATAGCATAAACTTTTATCAATTATGAAGAAACATTATTTCAAATACCTACTTGAACTATGCCAAAAATGTGATTCTCCCTTAATTCTTTAATAAATGCATCAAGCTTGATCTTGAACAACCTACATAGTATATCAGGTCTGTCTTCTGGTTGAAGTGAAGTATCTTTAAGAAACCTTTTAACCTCTGACCATTTGGGATTACACGTAAAGGTTATGAAGAAATCAGGATATCCAAACCATTTACATAACGACATGGCATCCAAATAGTTCTGGAGCATATAGCGCTCACCACCAATAAAAGATGAAGGTAATATCACATGTTGGCCGACGTTGGAGATATCTGTAGTTCCTTGAGCTTTTTGGTTACGTAAATTCTCATATGACTCGCATCTAAGAACATGTTGTTGCCTACGTATGTAATACAATCTCTCACTTTCAATCATGGTATAAGCATCTACCAAAAATTGTTGAAACAGCCTTTTTGAATTAAGAATAAGTGAGAACGAATGATTCCTGTCTTGAATTCTAAAAGCGAAAAATTATCTCATTGTACATTTTGCGCGCTTGCTGTTTGTTGTAGATGTAACACCTCTATGAAGAATATCAACGCTGTAACCATCATCTCCATATGGAAATAGTAGCGGATATTGGAGAGGAAGGTAAGAAGGATGCAATTCACTGATACGTTGTAGAAATCCCGACTTAGTTTCAACAACGATATCTCTATTTTCAACTGAATCAGAAATGTCACCTATAATTAAAGCGGCAACCTCAGAAGCAGTTGGTAGGTTATATGTCCTTCCATCTCGATCTCTTATGCCGATGATTTTTAACTTCATATCAACTTGAGGATATTTTTTAAAAGTATCTCTTACCATCCTATAAGAGCTAACCAAGACATTATTTAAACCTAACATCAACTTCAAATCTTCAATAATATCATTATCGATTGATGTAGATTGATGTTTTTCCCCACTATAAAAATTGAAAATATACATAATATTAGTACAAAAAAAGATCGAAATTAACTATGAATAAGAAGGTTGAAAATATACCCAAAACATCTCTGTCTATTTGAATTTTCGTTGTCCGTATCATAAATGTATAACTGAGAGAATTTTGGTTGCGATCCATCTGGTGGTAAAAGGCTTCCAATACTATGATAATTTTGACCACCAAGTCTGAAAATGTATGGAGCATTTCCTCTATTGATTGAAGAATCAATTTTACCACCCATCGACGTAAAAGAAAACATTGAATTGTAACGTCGAATGTTTTTCATAAAGTTTTTGCTTTTAGAATCCGTTCCTCGAAACATTCTTTCATAATTTGGTGGTGCGTTCTTTAAATATGGAAGTTGAACCTTGCCATAACCACAGCATAATGAATAATTTGTGTTTCCTCTTTCTTTTCCTCTAATGGATTCATTTTTCCATAATTTTGCATGACATGTTTGACATACCACAATTTGATCACCATGATCCAAATATTATGTAATAAAATAAAGATGTATAAGTAAAATATTGAATTTCATAAACAATTATAATATAGAGTTGTAAAAGAAAAAGAAAATGGGTATATATATGGATTACCTTTGGAAATACCAATTATTTGGTTTTCATTAATGACTTCATGCATATTTTCTACATCTGCTGTCAAATCAATAAATGGAATAGGAGATAAATTTTCCAACTTCCTTTTTAATTTATGACATCCTGGATTTAACTTGATTGAGGATGAAGAAGCAGTTATTGTAGATGCATTTCTCGAGGTCATACCATTACAAAGTCCAGAGTAATGTCTATTATTTTGTAACGTTGAAGTTGTGTAGTTATTGAAACTACTATTGGCTGGAAAAAAAAATAGTAAAATTATTACCATTTGAAATGTTAGAAAGTGGTTGAAAGATAATTTTGAAAAGCAAAATTATTACCATTTGAAATGTTAGATAACGAAGTTCTAACATTTATATATGACGAAGATGATTGTAGGGGTGTATTTTGGTATCCACGGGATTTATAGGAACGGGTATTTTCTTTTTCACGAACAACATTTTTTGATTGATCTGTAAAAAACAAATTGTTAAAACAACTGAAGACATGTATTATAAAATTAAATTATCATGTAAATTTTATATTAGTACATTGAAATAATAAAAAATGATGATAATGTATGTATTTTTTATATAGATATATGAATTGTGAAAATTAAAAAACAAAATAAGAACATTACAAATATATGTGTGTGTTAAGACATGTGTTCCACATCGATTTTGAACACTGGATTTTGTATTCTTTTTCTTCGACCTCTTGTTATCCAAATATAATTTTCTCTGTCTTCTTTTCTCTTTTGCTTGCAAGTAGTACATAAAATCATTTGTTCCTGTATAACGAATAAAAAGTATATGATATAAAATGTATATGAGTGTAAATAATTGTGTTTGATATAAAACTGAATATAATAAATGATTGAAATTTGGTTAAAATTATATTTTTCATATTAATATATAATAAATAATAATAATAGTGAAGAAAGAAATGTACATTTTGTAACCGTTGTTAACAAATGTTGCAGATGATGAATCTTCCGTGGTCGATGAAGTAGGCAAATTTTTTGGTTTTTCTTATTATGTTAATAAAGATTATTGTTAGAATAATACATGTTATTGTTTGATTATGAAATTGCTTCAGGTAGATAATATATTTATTTAAATATGGATTTAACAATATCTTTTTAAATATATAGAATTTATAAAACATTGTAATTATATAATATGAATATTATTTATGTGATATTTTTGTGTTATTAAAAGATATATTTAGAGCTTAAAAATGTGTAACAAAAATATAAAAAAATGTTAAAGACCAAACATACCGTTGTAAGGTGTATCAAGTGCATTTGTAGCTGTTGAAGTTTGTCTGCTTGATGTAGTAGACAAACTAATGTTATTTCTATTATCTAAATAAAAACTATTTAATTTTCTACTCTTTTTAGAATTAAACGACTTCATGATATATCTGGAATCTAAAGAAATAACAACAATTAATTTATAAGATAATATAATAAACAGTAAAGAGTATGATTAAATTAAAGCAAAACAAAGTATAAACTAATATTATGAAAATATTTGACATATAATTGCAATTTGTTTTATCATATTCTTTAAGTGGGTCTATTTTTGAAATATGATTGCATTTATATATTTTATATTTTTTTATGTACCCTAATATAAAAAGTATATTTATTGTATATTTATATAACATTTATAAAATAAAATGTGAACAAATACTATTTATATTAAAAAACATATGAGTAAACAAAATGTACAGAAATTTTTGTTAATGATTCACAAGTTAATATAGAAGTTAGTTGTCATTTATTATTAAACAGGGACCATTAAAAAGCATATTTACTTAAACATGGAGCATAAATTGGAATTTTCTTTACTTAAAAGATAAAATAAACGTTTAGGTTAGTCTAAAACACAAAGAGGCATTACGGTCGGACTTGTATGTATAGATAGAAACGAAGAACGAAAACAAATAGTTGGGTTAAAGCTTATTCGTTTGTTGTGTCGATCTTTTAAACTTACAATGTCAAAGATGTGTTAAGATAAGAAAAATGAGGATCGGAGGCGAAGGTGTATTACAAATCGACTTCAATATTAACTGGAAATTTCAATTTTTCAGAAATATAGATTTGCTTACCTGTAATCGTCAACAGGAGAGGACAACATGAATCAAGAACGAAAAAACGCAGCTACTATCGGCAAAGCAAAGACGATCCAGAGGAAATGAATTAAAATAAGGTTAGGATTTTATAATCTTTTAATTCAGGTTTGAACTTTTGATTTTGAAATTGTGTGGAGGGAACGATAATTTGTTTTGAAATTTTGAAACTATTAAAACAAATTGTTGTTAATCATCCATGAATATCGGTGAAAATAATAAAACTCTTCTATTAATCTTTTGTAAAACGACATTAATTGTCCATAATATGAAATTAAACAAATCCAAGAACAGCTTACAGTGCATCCATAGTCAAATTCCACAATTAATTGATTTAAGAGTATCTTAATAGTGGGATGCGCATTTTAGGCATTTTAGACATCTTAAAAGATCGAAATATTTGGTTAACTTTTTCTATATTCTGAAAGATATATAATTAATATTATGTAATCCATATCATTTATATATTATGTTTAATTCCAACAGTTCTTGAGATCAGCAACACAAAACAATATATGAGATCTTTATTGGTGATATAATATCCATAGTTACCAAGATACTATGCTTCAAAAATGATAAACCTGGAAAGTTACATGAGCATTAACATAAAATATATAAACACATCATATATTTCATTAAACAAATTATAAGTTTCAAAGTGGTTACAAACTATGATGTTCTATTACACCCAATATACAAAAGATAATTACTAAATGTCTTAACCATGAAATATGTAACTTCATCAAAAAAAAAGAGATAACAGTTACCTACACTAAGTTTTTCCATGCAATAACATTCTCTTTAGCCATGTCCATTGCATCTTCCATCTTTCCTCTGGGAATGGTCATGTTTAGCATATCCTTGATGTATGTTATTCCATCATCAACTGTTGACATTGGGTGTTCTGTTACACAGAGATGAATAAGCTTCTCAACTCTTTTGGCTGGTGAGTTCATCATGAAGTGGGGAAAATTGGTTGGCACATATATTGGCTTGTGTTCCACATACAGATGTTCAATCTCACGGAATTGATGTGCCCTAACCATTGCTTTGAAATTTCCCAAAGCATCATCATCCAAAAATGGAGTCATTGACAAACCATAATGTTGTTCAGTTGGCATATGATACAAGTATCCCATAGTTGTATAACCCAAACTTTTAGAAAAACTACCAAGCAAATCCATGTCAAGCAAATCGATGTTGACAAAAGTAATAAAGTGAACTTTTATTTTTTCATATGCTTTACCTGGATAATCAGTAAAATATCCGCCATGGACAACTCTAATGGTGAACCTCTTGTCGTTTCCTTTGCCATACTCTACAATCGGTGTGTTTTTGGTTGCTCACTGCTTACAGTCCATAGTTGATACCTCGGCTTTGCCCATGGATCGACATTCATGTTTGTTGCCATTGTTCGTCGGATTTTTTTTCACAGAGGATGAGAAATTCGAAGTTATCTTTTGATGGTGACGAAAATGCAAGAATGAGAGTTTACATATACGGGGAGGGTTTAAATGGATGATCAATTGGAGATGAAGAGACATCGACGCACGCCGTAAACACATCAGTCCCGATTACGTCCAGGGTACAGGGGAGGTTCAAGTTGAACGACGGTGGGTATATGATTAATTATTATTATATTTAGTTTTTATCATATTGTGTAAGTCTGTCAAATTTTAAAAAATTATTTCATTAAAATATTTTTTTATGTAGCCTAATATAAAAAGTATATTTATTGTATAGTTATATAACATTGATAAATTAAAATACAAACAAATACTATTTATATTAAATATAAAAGTCTTAAATTAAACTATTGTAAAACGCCATTAATTGTACATAATATGAAATTACAAAAAATCAAGAACAACATAGAGTGCATCCATAGCCAATATCTGACTTAACTGATTAAAGACTATCTTAATAGTGGGAGGGGCATTTTAGGCATTTTATAAGATTAAAAATAAAGTTCTTTTGGCAGAAATTACATTGCTATAATCAGCAACGAATAAAAGTACATATAGGATCTTGAACTGGAGACATGAATTTATCAAGTATAATAACCTTAAAACTAAATTAGGAACTTGAAGAACATTTTTAGAAACGTTATGTACAAATTCAGAATCAAACTTTAAGGGCAATTTGGGTGAGTTATTAGTAAATAAGACTATCTTAATAGTGGGAGGGGCATTTTAGGCATTTTAAAAGATTTAAAAACAAAACATATAGTTATTTTAATTACACAAATCCTGATACAGGTAATTTGCTATTTAACTGATTTCGATTGATAGAATAGACAATGTTAACATTTGTTTAAGTGTATGAAATTACAAAAGAAATCAAGAACAACATAGAGTGCATCCATAGCCAATATCTGACTTAATTGATTAAAGACTATCTTAATAGTGGTAGGGGCATTTTATAAGATTAAAAATAAAGTTCTTTTGGCATAAATTACATTGCTATAATCAGCAAGGAATAAAAGTACATATATGATCTTGAATTAGAGACATGAATTTATCAAGTATAATAACCTTAAAACTAAATTAGGAACTTGAAGAACATTTTTAGAAACGTTATGTACAAATTCAGAATCAAACTTTAAGGGCAATTTGGGTGAGTTATTAGTAAATAAGACTATCTTAATAGTGGGAGGGGCATTTTAGGCATTTTAAAAGATTTAAAAACAAAACATATAGTTATTTTAATTACACAAATCCTGATACAGATAATTTGATATTTAACTGATTGTGATTGATAGAATAGACAATTTTAACATTTGTTTAAGTGAGTTATTAGTAAATAAGTTTGTTAAATACAGAGATAATGTAAATTCTACAATTGATTGATTAAAGACTATCTTGATAGTGGAGGGGAAATTTAGGCATTGTATAATAATTACGTTTCAAATTAAACATTGAACAATCCATGATATAATTGTAAAAATAAAGTTCTTTTGGCAGAAATTACATTGCTATAATCAGCAACTAATAAAAGTACATATAGGAATTTGAATTGGAGACATGAATTTATCAAGTAGAAGAACCTTAAAACTAAATTATGGGTAAATAACTTAGTTAAATACAGTTAGAAATACATAATGTTATTATCAAAGGATTTTTTTTGGTGATGTTCCATAACAAATACCTAATATTACTTAATGTTTATATTTGATGTCTAATATCATGATACTTTTATTTTTTCTATACACAAATAAATGATAGTACATTGCTATTTATTGTATTAATCCTTAGATTAATGTTTACTCCTTAATGAATACTTTCGAATGAAGAATAAAGTCATAATAAGATGTTATATTGTCCAATATTGAATAAATAATAGTCATTTGGGAGATAAAAGCAATGTTGTATAAAATCAGTTCTACCAAAATCAAAATAACATAGTAAACGACATTATAGGAATGAAAAAAATAACACAATGTATATTCAAGAAATAAATATAAAAACCATCAAATCCCAAACAAAAACCATTCAAAACTAATCCACCTAAAAATGTAAACGGCTTAAGAGTCTATGATGCAGAAAAAAAATTAACCATGAAGTAAGATTGTTTGTAAAAGTAAAATACATTTACTTTTCTTTCTTGGGGACCAAAAGAGGCATTGGTTGTTCATCCGGTGGTGACAATCGAGCAGACTTAGATGTTGACAAATTCTCCATTTCATCAAGATCTATGCATGTAGCAAGGTTTCTTTTCAACTCAGTTGGTGTAGAAATCAACTTTGTAGGACTTGTTGCAGTTGAGTTGTCCCTAGCACAAGGTGTTAAATTGTCACCTGTATGTGAAAAAGAATCCTAGAAAAAAAAACTAGTTAGTTGTTATACATTAAAACATAATACTTCAAAAATTATAATTTCAAAACTACAACCTTGACAACTTTGGTCTCTTGGGAACCAATATCTGAAGAACCAATCATGAATGAATCCGAATTAGCAGGCTGCATTATCAGATCAAAAACAAAATGCTATCAAGTCAGATATTGTTGGGTGAAAGTGGTAAAAACTAAATATAATTGTTGAAAATAACATGTGGAATAATATTCTTTTTTTCCAGTTGATCAATTATGTCTGTATTATCGGTTAATCTTGATATCCCATAAATATTACTTTTATTAGTGACATTGTAACTTGAGATATCAATTTTAATTGCCAACTTTTTGTCCACCACAACTTTCAACTCCATTGGATACAAATCCAAATTGATGCCAAGCTAAAATATAAATAAATATTGTTAGAAAATTTCTGTATAAATATATAATTGTATAACATAAAGAAGTAATTTAGAACTATAAAATAATACAATTCTTGTTTTTATCATACAACTCTTTAGTTGTATATTTAAACAACTTCTTTGCTTCTTGATCAAATAAGGTTAAAGTCAAGGTTCATGTGTTGTCTTGAACCCGAAGTGGGATTTTAAATCTAAATAAAGTATAAAATCATATTATATTACATAATTATGATAAACATATATTTTTTTATATAAAATAAATATGTAATACCTTGGAATAACCGAAATTTTGATATTTATGCATTTAGGATTAGCACATTCATAAGTAACGATTTTGGCCACTTCATGAGAACCATCAACCTTATCAGTAGAAGACTCTTTTTGTTTTGCTGACTTTTTGCAGTTGCTACAAGTAAGGTAATACCAACGTATGTTTTGACGTATTCCCTTAACAGTACCAACAATAACAACCGTTTTTTCCTGGAAATTTAAATAATGTTTAATGTTAAGAAAATGTTAGTTTATGCCAGTGTATGTTAGTTTCGTTATAACAATATACTATGTTTGTTTCTTAAACTTTTAAAAATTAAAAATAAAAGTGCATTAAAGTAACAAATTTAAAAATAACGTAAAGTACCTCCAAAGGTTCAAACACATCATCAATATTTGAAAACAAATTATTTTTCAGAAAGTCATCGTGTTCCGTGTCTTGTTTTGATGCAATCATCTTGATTTCACTTGATGAAATTTGTTGTCCATTTTCAGATATCAATCTGTTCATTGATAAAAAATGAAAGGTATTACATTTAGACAAAATTGCAAAAATGGTCCCTGTGGTATGCATTTTTTTGGGGTTTTAGTCCAAACCACGACTTTTTTGGATTGGTGGTCCTTTTGAGGTAGTTTCGTTGCGTTTTTGGTCCCTCGGTAATCTTAAATGACTGTAATACCCTTCTGATTTTTTTTATGTTTTTTCTATTTAATTTAAATAGAAAATAAAATAAATAATTAAAGTAGACCCACATCTCTCTCTCTCTCTCTCTCTCTCTTTGAAACTAAAAAAACACACAAAGACATAATTAAACATCTCTTTCTCTACCCCTATTCATCATCATCATCATCATCGTTTACACACTGTGAATCAAATGGTGAGTTTACCCTTTCTCCCTCGTCTATTGCAACCTGAAAATCGATGATTCACCCATGTGTCATTCATGCTTCATCAATCTCAGTGAACAAATCGAGGTAAAATAAAACCCTAAACCCTTAAATCCGATCTAAGAATTAATGATTCTAATCAAATTTACAATTGATGCTTAACTAATTATGGGGCATTGTTTATCGAAAGTTAGGTGATTTGTTAAAATCGTACCCAGAGTTTATGTTGTGGCGATTTGTTAAAATTTCCGACAATATGGATGGGGTTTTATGGCTGGCGCTTTTCAGGTAAGAGAGGAGAGTGTCACACCCCCAAACCAAGGATGGCGGAAACGTCCGGGGGTGGAGGACTTCATGTATAGTATCACAACAACGAGTATAATAGTGCTCAAAGTAAATACAACCATCATAAATATAATTGAAAAGGTTACATCATAGTATATGTTTACATGTTTCAAAATCAATTACATTATGATGACAAAATGAACTGTTTGACGATTTAACGTCCCATCCTCAAAATGCTGTTGGTTTCCTGTTTCACTGATTTCCTGAGAATACAAGTAGTTTTGAAAAGTGTCAACAATTAAGTTGGTGAGTTCATAAGAGTTTTGTTTGAGAAAAAAACCGTTTTCCTTGTAAAAGCGACAGAGTATGTTTCCAGAAAATCCAATATTTTCTTTATTAAGTGTGGAATGAATGCTCCTATGTTATGCGATAATGTACCCTAGAAGGACCCATAGATTCCTTCTATAATCACCCAACGTATATAAGTTATATAAAATTTAAGTTAAATAAACCGTTGAATATAATGGGTCTGCCCTAGGTCCACAACCAAACAAGGAACAGGAGATAAGGCGGGCCCACCAATTCTAAGTCGATTTCAATTCAATTTTATATAACTCTAACATATACACTTATCAATTATAGCTGAAAACTAACAATTCTAAATGATATGTAGTTTTAATACCATAAAACCATTTTTGTGTAAACCCGGTATTTTGTATTCGTACCCCGTTTATATGAAAACCCGGTACTTTGTAATGTACCCCTTTTTGTATAAACTCGGTACTTTGTAATGTACCCCTTTTATATGAAACCCGGTACTTTGTAATGTACCCCTTTTTGTATAAACCCGGTACTTTGTAATGTACCCCTTTTATATGAAACCCGGTACTTTGTAATGTACCCCTTTTTGTATAAACCTGATACTTTGTAATGTACCCCCTTTAATATGAAAACCTTTTGTAATGAGTTCGTAATGTAATTGAAACATAAACTATACCTATTATAGTTTATCATAATATTTTTAATGTATATGCAACCTAACTATACCTATTATAGTTTAGCATATTTGTTTGTGGTGTATAAGAACCCTTTTCTATGTAAGTCGAATGTATAGCAAAAATATAACTATGTTTATCTTGCCTTGTTTTGTACTATTGGTAATGATGGAGGATTCTTACAATTCAGTGAGTATTTTCTGTCATATAAATATACCACAACAAGAAACACATGTAAAATATGAAATCCTCAAAGATTTACACTTTGCTCAATGTGTTACAAAGTGTGATGAAAGTTATAAGCTGTTATCTAGATTTTGACCTTTCTACACTGTTTTAGAAAAATCACAGAAAAATCATACGTAGTCGAAAACTGAATCCGTAAATTCTGAGAGTTCACAAAATGTGTCTAGTTTATTCATAGTTTTTATTATGATTTTTTAGAAGTCTTTAACTTGTGTTAAAATGTTCATATTCACAGACTGGTCCGACTTCGTTTCTGAAATGATAGGCAGTTTTGTAAAAATCACCATAAATCGTGGAAAAATCGTATGGAGATGTGCAAGTAGTCATTTTAAAGGTATGAACCTGAACTATGTTCATATTAAACAGTTTTGAAAGATAATTAGTTTAAGATAGTCAAAACAGTCCGTGAATAAGACTCAACTTTTCTGATGAAAGCTGTTGTTTGAGTTTAGTTGTGTTCTTGGTGTTTTAACTTGTATTCCCCCCCCCCCCCCCCTAAAACTTGAAGAAAACATAAAAATGTAGGGGTATGAACTCACCTTGAGTGATTTCAGTAGATGGATGAGGAAGAAAAGAAGTGTTCAACTCAAGAACACTTGGGAGATGCTTGAAGATTTGAAGATCTAACAATAATTATGACGATATTTGTGTAAGCAATCCATGATTTGGATGAAGGATAGTAGAATATCTAAGTGTAGGAGGAAGATACTTACCAAATGTGGAGGAAAAACTCAAGACCAACCTTTGAATCTCGAATTTTAGAGAGAGAAAGTGAAAAAGATGTGTTTGTTCTCCTTGAGAAAGAGTGAATAAAGTTGGAGGAGAGATAAGGGTTTTTCTATCCTTGTGACAAGGTACTTGGCTGGAAAGAGTGGGGAAAAAGGGCAATGAAATGACCAGGTATGGTGAAATAGTAACTGGGGATGGTCTTGGAGTGGGTATGGGAGTTAACTTGTGTCTTTGCCCAAAGGTAAGTCAACACTCCACCCATAAATCTTACCTACTAGATTTTATTCTTAGGCAAGGATTTTCCCCAAAATATAATTAAAATATGGATATTTTGGGTTTATTATATTAAAATACGAGTTTGGGTGAAAATCCCGCGTTAAAATCACGAAAAACGGGCTTAAAACGAAGATTGGGTCAAAAACCAGGAAGGAAATGGGAAAAATCCGAAATTGGGGCCGAAGTTGCGAAGGTTCGGTCTTAGGAGCATAGAACCGAAGGTAGGGTTCGGTTGTGTATTGGAACCGAGAGAGGGAAGGTTCGGTCCGAGCAGGTCTCGCAGGTGCACTCCTCAGAAGGGACCGAAGGTGAATCTTGTCAGAAGCGAATTTTGTCAGAAGCGAAGGTGAAGTTCGGTCCAGGAGGCTTCTTAGGGTTTCGGTTCCTAAGAGGGTTCGGCTCCTTAAGAGGGTTCGACTCCTTAAGAGGTTTCGGCTCCTTAAAGCTGTTTTTCGCGCAGACTTCCGTTTTCGAGCGGTTTTCGACTAAATTAAGGGTCGGGGTGCCCCGAGTGATTATAAAAAGTTGAGAGAGATTTTGAGAGAGATTTGGGAGAGATTTCACATACTTGGAGAGATTTCTCATACAGAGAGAGATTTGGGAGAGATTTCACATACTTGGAGAGATTTCTCATACAGAGAGAGATTTGGGAGAGATTTCACATACTTGGAGAGATTTCTCATACAGAGAGAGATTTGGGAGAGATTTCACATACTTTGAGAGATTTCTCATACTTTGAGAGATTTCTCATACAGAGAGAGATTTGGGAGAGATTTCACATACTTGGAGAGATTTCTCATACAGAGAGAGATTTGGGAGAGATTTCACATACTTGGAGAGATTTCTCATACAGAGAGAGATTTGGGAGAGATTTCACATGCTTGGAGAGATTTCTCATATAGAGAGAGATTTGGGAGAGATTTCACATACTGAGAGAGGTTTCTCATACAGAGAGAGATTGGGGAGAGATTTCACATACTTGGAGAGGTTTCTCATACAGAGAGAGATTTGGGAGAGATTTCACATACTTGGAGAGGTTTCTCATACAAAGAGAGATTTGGGAGAGATTTCACATACTTGGAGAGATTTGGGAGAGATCTCGTTTGCGACCTTTTTGAGTGTTTGGCTTCGTAACGCAAGGTTTGTACATCCCGTTAAGTCTCGTTATGATTGGTATATGCCCCCGGGGGTTAAGGTATAATGTTTTATCGAGTAGTTTTATCACTTGTCCTGATTAGGGTTTAGAGTTTCCGAACACGTGAAAACTCTAAGTGATACTTTGTATTAAGATAGCGAGTTGTATAATAAGAAACAGAATGGAAACCCTAATATACAAGGGTTAGATGAGTTGACCGTTTTGACTTGTTGACTTTAGTTGACTTTGACTTGGCCAAAAATTGACGGTTGTCACATCATCCCCCCGTTAGAAAGAATTTCGTCCCGAAATTAGTGTTTCGACTGGGACTTCAAAAATTTGGAAGAAAGATGGGGGAACTTTTCGTAGTACAAGAAATTGATTACGGTGGGGACCAACCCGCCTGATGTTGACGACCTTGGAATTTCTTGTAACTTGAGCTGAGTCGATTTAAAAGGAGTTATTGTTTTGGGATGATAGTGTATTCTACGTGTGCCTTTATGCTCTCCGTTTTATACTTGGTATTACTACTATGAATATTTTACAATGTAATTTGTGAGTACTAGTATTACGAATGCTTCAACAATTTGTGATGAAATTTGCAATATAAGTCCTACCAGGTCTTTTATAATCGCTTGGTGTAAACTAATCGTATATCATTAAGATTGCAAGGGCATTCGGATGAGTGACCCCGCCTTAAGCCCACAACCAAACAAGGAACAGGATTTAAGGCGGAATTACACATTCTAAGTCCATAGAATCTTAATGATATATGACCATAATGTTTACACTAGCCATCATAGATTCACTAGTAAAAACCCTGCGTTTTTATATAGATGATAAGACTTATACGGGTTTTGCCGTGTTCTCGAGATTTATGGTTGGTATACTTCAATCGATACTGGTTTTTAGTAATAAAAAGAAATTTAAGATTTAAACATCGATGTTAGAAACACG